TTGACACTTTATGTATGATCCATTACAGTGTTATCAACACTAAATCAATCATATTGCCATTTTACCATATGAAGGAACTGACAAAAGAACAAAACTTCAACTTTGTTGAAAAACTATTAAATTAATTAAAATGTTAAACATTGGACTGCCAACTAATTTCACGTTTATCAGCCGATATTATGTAATGTAACGCTTTTTGGTGATACGTTCCATTACTTGTTTATAATGAAAATCCGATGTATAATGATTGCATACAGTGGAAAACAATACTGAAAGTGTAATTAGTGACGAAAATATGGGAAGATCTGGGTCGAACCAACAGTTTATCGAATTAGATAAAAATTACATACAAACAAACAATTTTTTGTACTTTACTTCAAATTTAAAAACAAAATGTTTAAAAATATCACCCGCTATTCGTAAAATTATCAAAAATTTCTTAAGTATTCTATAACAAAATTAAATATTTTTTCGTATTTTGTTTTCTGCAAATTTACTTCAATATTAAAAAATTCTTAGGGAAAAATAACCAAAACTTGAAATTTGTATAATTAAATCTTGATAAATTAAAACACAAAATGAAAACGAAACTTTTATACCTATAAAAATAACCTTAAAATTATAACCACGATCAAACAAGTGCCTAACATCACTACTTGTAAAAACTAAAAAAAAAAGTCAAAATTTAAAACAACAGTAAAAGCTGAGCTGTATCAATTACATAACCGCAAATACTGTTATATTGTCAGTATGAAAAATAACGTTCAACAAAAAAAAAGTTTTTTAAATTCATTTCGCTAAAACAAATTCAGTAGATTTATGGTTTAATGTTAAAAGTAGCAATTAACACACGAGTCAAAGGATTGTCATAAATCAACTATTTAACCCATCTTTTAAAAAAATTTGTAAAAAAAAAAACCGAAAACTAGAAAATTTGATATTTCAGATTTTTTTTTCTGTTGTCATGTTTTTAAGATTAAAAAATTACTTTTAGAGCATGTTTTGTTGAAAAGAAATCTAAGCTAAAATATCAAAGAAGCATAAACAAAAAATCAAAATGCATAAACTTTATTTTTGACCGAAATTTAAATTAATGATTTTTTCATTATATTATTTATTAGTACCATCCCTGTTTTATTTATTTTGACATTTTCGTTTTTATTTTAAACAAGCACGTTGATTTTCTTACACCATGTAAAGTGAATTAATCATATTGTTTCAGGATTTCATCTAAAAATATCAAATATTTCAAAAATGTCAATTTTTTATTTTCCTTATGTATAAAATTGTAAACAGTAATTAAAATTTTCTCTCAATGAATATTTGAGAGTTGACTTTAAGCGAAAAAATTTAGTATATTATAGGTATCATTATTTTTTGATGCAAACAAATTAAACTCGTGATTTGAATAAAACACCAAAATATTTACTCAACTTACCTGAATACAGAGCGCGGTAGCGCACTCATACTTGCAGTTCTTTCACAAAGAATCACAAAATTAACTTTATAATTTTAAGTTTCTGCCCTTAACCATTTTTAATTTAATAATTTTTTTCACATTCATTGATGCTTGCAATTCCAGCTTATAAAATCAGCAAATTTTCAAGTTATTCTCAAAACATAATATTTAATTTGTGTGTGTGTACCATTTCAAAAACTTTCACTATCTAAAAACCACAGTTCACACTTATTTACATTTTCTGACACATCAAAAGCGCCTTTAATTTTGTATATCAAAACAGATATCTCATTTTTTCAATTGAAATATGACGTTTTATTTAGCGGTTTACTAAATGAGTAATATTTTATTAACTAATTAAATAATATGAAATTAAAATTTTTATTTATTTTAAATAAATTAATTTTGAGACATTTTTATTGTTTATTTGCCTAACTAATTAATTTAAATGTGAGTCATTACAATATATGTAAGTTGGTTTTAATTATGGAATATAAATTTTTTTGTAATAGAGTTGGAACATTACAAATTTGCCTTTTGTCTTCTAATATACATTTTATCACGGTATTTACAAGAAATAATCGGATAGATTAATAAACCATTCACAATTTGAAATTTTAGTGAATTTCTTCTTTACATTATGAATTTTGTAATTGAAATGCAGTTTCCTCCATGACTCCGAAGTTATTTCAAACTAGTAATTCAAGTTTCATATGACAGAAATTCGGTTTTCTCGAAAACAAACTAATTATTTAAAAATATTTCAAACAATATGAATATTTTAATTCCGGTCTTAAAGTTTGCAAGATCAAATTTACATTTTATAATAATTTTTAATTAATAAATTTATCAAAAATTATTATCATCTTAATTTATTGCATGATTTCAACAGTTTTTTTTCTTTTTTAATATTAAAATTGATGACATTTTTTAATGAAAAATTAATTAAAATTCTATTCCTGAAACAAAAGACTTAAATATACCGACACATACAAATAGAACAGTATTGCAAAAATGATTTAAATTTTTTTTTCTCCATTTTAGCTTTTTTATTTCTCCAATTAATTTTTAAAAATTTTTGTTTCTCGTGACCTAAGAACGCAAGATCTTCAAAAAAAGAATACAACAGTAAAAAAAAATTTTTTTTTGTTTTCTTTGTTTTTTTTTTTTTTTTAACACCAATCATTAAATAATTGTTGGAAACAAGAAGAGTAAAAAAAAAATGGTAATGCTTAACTGTCAGAAGCTATTGTCATACATAAATATTTTATCTGTCTATATAAGTAGGTATATCCGCTGAATATTTACAAATACTTTTGATAACCAACAACTGTTATTGTTATATAATACAATTAAATTATTATTATTTGAAACCCGCGGTTGCTAATTTTAGTTTTTAATATGTTTTGGTTTTGTTTAAATAACAGTGTATAGGGTAAATGTATTCCACCTTGCATCATGATATGAATTGCTGATATAAACCAAATTTAGGCTTTAAAATATTAACACAATCGGAATAAACTAAATATTTATAAAGTATACCAGATTTTTCCCAGTGATAGCCCTCCAAAAAAAGTTCTACTGTTTAATTTAGCTACATACATACAATATTCTCGTTAATATGTCATGATATATCATAATGCTATTCGAAGACTCGTAGATTTTTAAAGAGACTGGGTGAGGTGGGAGGATCACCCCCGATTCACCGCTGCCATTCTTGACTTATTGCAGCCTCTCCCATCTCCCACTTAAAATATCCCCCAAGTGTAAACTCAAAATATATGCAAGGGAGTTAGACAACAGTTGCCAAACGCTTAAGAAATCCTGTCCAAAACAAATGCGACGCCGGACAGCAAATACCGGCTGTCAATCTCATTAATATCATAATGTTATTGCATATATCTTAATTTACAAAAAGTGCTAACATAATGTGCTAATTCATACGCTTACAGTTTCGGAAAAAATTAAGTGCCGAAAATTTGTTAAATTTTAAAAAGTTGGAAGAATTACAAGGTAGGAATTAATTTTTCTCAAACACAATAAAAATATTTAATAATGTCTAAAAGCTGCTAAAATTTCATAGGATTTTAAATTTCCGAAATATTCAAATTTTCGAATTTCAAATATATTATTTTTTTTAAATTTTTAGCCTCGTCATTTGTCGAAAATTAGCCATAAAACAGAAGTTAATCGAAAGAATTTTAAACACAAATACGGAAGATAGTCATTGACAAAATTTTTACCCTATATTACTAATTTTTTTTTCTTATCTTTCCTTTATTTGAATAATTCCGATGTTTAATAACAAGTTGCTGGACAAGAATACCAATGTCCGATGAAGCATTAGAAAAAGAAAAAGAAGAAGAATATTTATAAAAAAAAAGCAATAAAAGATGAAGATAAAAATGCGCGTTGTGCCTTTTTTTTTACTTTTTATTTATAGCTTTTCCTTTTTTTTCTGACTTTTATTTTTATCTTATCATCTTTCGATATGTTTTAAAAATTTAATCATCAGAACTCAATGTTGAAATAATTTCTGAAATCCGTCATGTATCCACCCAACTTATTTTATTCGAAGAAATAGAATGATATGCGAATTTTGTTTTTGGAAGTTATGATTGTTGTGGAAATTGAGAAATTCTTTGATCATTACAATTAATTTGTAAATCATGTACATTAAACAAGGTTACTCGTAAAAAATTATTTAAGTATGTGTGCGGTACCCAATAAATGAAAAATTATGATTATAGCCTAACACCTAATTTTTTATTCTAAAAGGTAAATGTAAAATAATTGGAATACAATTTGTTTTTTTTTTTAAGTATTTAAGAGTTAATAACACTTTAAGTACCCTCCTTTGAGAAATTTTTGAATAAAGCACATTATTGTCTGACAAGTTATGATGATTATGTAGGTATTAGGAAATATTTTTATAGAAATCGAATCTTTTTGTAAAAATAAATTTTTCATTAAATATTTGAATGTTATTTAAATATTTTAAGGTACATATTTTTAGGTAATTGGTATGCCGTGTGCAAGATTTTAAGTGAATAAATGTAGTTCATATGATGTTCTTGTCGAGCTCGTGTATCATAAGATAATTATTAAAATTTTTTAGCTATATTCATGTCACAGTAAGATTATAACTGTTTAAAAAATGATTACTTTTCAAAAATGATTGAACTATAGAACAGATTATTAGACTGTAGAGCCGTGAGAATATAACACGACAGTGATTTAAGTATTCACGTAGTTGGAAGAGAATTATTTGACTAAAGAAGAAGAATTATTATCAAGACTAAAGAATAAAATATTAAAATATTGTAATGCATAAAATTCTTCATTCTGTCATATTATAATAATAACTTACTTCTGTGTTTTATGATTTCTATAACTTAATTTCATCACTATATTGCACTTTTAAAACTTACAAATAAAATTAAATTGTACATTCACAAAAATTTCCAAAAATATAGTAAAATTTTAAATGCCAATAGGGTTTACTGTATGTTAATCAAATAGAGTAACCATTGTTAAAGGAATGAAAACAATAGCTTGTAACAAACGTGTTTTGAAGCAAAAAGTGTTGGCATATTTTACCAAAAGCAATATAACTTACTGAAAATAATAACGATTTCACATTTGTATTGAATATTCTTAATTTTGTATATCTGGATTAGTGCAAGAATTTCTAGATGACCAATAATCTGCCAAACTTCGCCTCACACAGTTTTTTACCAGCTATTTTCTATGTCTTTTATAGATCATTTTTCTATGTTTTCTTTGACACCCTTGGTTGTTGATATTATACTGCCGAGGTAATTGAATTATTCGATACCTTATATTAGTCTCGAATTTTCGACGAAGCAGGAAGGGTTTGGCTTCGTTTATTCGGAGTGATTTAGGTTTTCTCGTGTTAATTTTCAGATCGATTTCCGTCGCTCTTATATACAGCTCATTCAACTTTGTTTTCAAATCCTTTTGGCCATTGCATTGTATGCGCCATGGAATGGCTGTTGAATTTTGCATTTTTATATCTAGAGTTGTGTTGAACAGTAGTGTTCAATGCAATTTACCATTATGGAGAACTCTTATTTTCGCATCTTTGTATAATGCTTTTATGAGGTTCGTTAGATTTAGTGGTATACCTCTATTATTCAGTGCTATCCATATGGCCTGGCGTTTTATTGTATGGAATGCTTTTTCAAAGTCGACGAATACTATGTACAGTGGCGATTTCCATTGAATCAATTGCTCCACAATTAGTTTCAGTATGATCTATGCATCTTCTTGGTTTTCCGAATTTGATTTGTTCTTCTTTCATAGCTTCTTTTATTTTTATTTCCGTCCTGGACAAAATTTTGAGTGTTGTTACGTTTTTGGCTATGTCCATGACAATTATCTCAAGTTACCCCACTCCCTGTGCTCCTCCTTTTTCACGATTTTGACAATTATGTTTTGTTTCCAACATTCTGCGTTTTTTCACTCTCCTTTATGTTGTGGTACGGATTGCCGAATTTCTTTCATACTACCTATGACAGATTGTAGTAATCCCACAGTAATGCCATTGAGACCTTCTGCCTTAGTTTCTACTCTTGAGTTTCTCTAGAGCATCTATAATTTCTCACTATTTGGTATAGGGACTGTACTTATTCGAGCATATTGATTTTGCAGAACTTTGAATGTTTGTTTGCTGCGAACCTATTTCTGCGGGAAGCCAACTTCTGAAAACTATTCTGATGGAAATAATGTGAAGGCATCAAATTTAACATGCCGAGTTACGGGGACGTAAATAAAGTATTTCGGTCTGTTTATATTTATATGCGCTTGTGTAATCTAATTTCTGCTGAACAAATTTTAACGAAAATTTCTTTGTTTGAGTTTATTTTGGCCATATGACAAATTTATCATTTTTTTAGGTACATAACTCAAATATATACGGATTAATTTTAGAATTGTGATATAATGCTAAATTTGCAAATTTAGTATACCTTCTTATGCAATAATTTTTAAAAAATTTTTTAATTCGAATTTTTATATATAAATATAAAATATTTTCATGTTCAATATAATTTATATTTTATATATTTAGGATATTAATAAATTTTATTTTGTATATATATACGTATATATATAGGATATTTATTACATAATATTCAAATATTTTTTAATAATCAAACTTTATTGAATTTATTTTTTTTCCCCAAATATCCTTTAATATTTTAGTGTATTAAAATCACAAAGTTTATATGATAATGACAAGGAATACAAAGATTTTTTTTTATGAATGTGCCATGTTATTGTTGTTGCCATATTCTTAAAAATATTTCTTTTTTTTTGCAATAAATTTAGTAAAAACTACTAAACAGGTTCTTAAAAAAAAATTATTTGTTCTTTTCATGTTATTTCTAAATTTTTTGTTTTTGTTGTTGTTGTTTTGCTTGTCAAAAAATTTTCGGTAGTCCAAAAAAAAAAAGTATAAAAGGAGTCGAAAATCATGGATGGCATTGAGTTCAATTTTGTTCAATAAAGTTCTATTAAGAATTCTATTTTAGAAATAATTTAATTGAAAAACAAACAAAACAATAAAAATGGTTAAATTCTTAGTAAGTTTTTTAAAAATAGAATTTTAATGTTAGAAGGTTAATTGATGATGGTTATTAAAAACAATTTCGGTATTATTTGTGGATTAACGCGAAATCTCAACAACTGTACAAAATTAAAATTAAACAAAAGAAGAAAAAAAAAATGTTGTGAATAATTGAATAAAAATATTTTTAAAATTTATTTGATATTTAAATATTTTACTTTGAATTTGTTTTTGTCTATTCAAATATTTTCAATAAGTGCCTATGATTTTCAATGAAATTCTAATTGTTTTAATAAAATACAAGAACAAATTCCAAATTTCATAGTGGAATTAGAAATTTCGTGATTTTCATTTAAATTAAAATTATTGAATTTGTTTTAAAAAAAAAATAACAAAGAGATGAAAACCAAATTAAAATAAAATTAAATAATTAAACAAAAAAAAAAAAAAAAATTTTAATATATTTTTTAATTGCATATATTATAGATTGTCTTAGTAGCCGCAATTGCAATTGCACAAGCTCGTCCAGCATCTGATGAACCAGTTGCAATTTTAAAAGCTGAATCAGATTTTGAACCAGAAGGTTCATATACATTCATGTTTGAAGGTGCTGATGGTTCATTCCGTGAAGAAAAAGGTACTATTATGAATGCTGGTAAAGAAGATGCTTATGTAGCTGTCAGTGGTACATATAAATATATTGATGCTGATGGACAACCAATTGAAGTACATTATACATCTGATGAAAAAGGTTTCGTACCATCAGGTACAAATATTCCAGCTTCAATTGAAAAAGCTGCACGTGCTGCCGGTGAAGCCCATTGAAAATTTATTTAAAATTTTTCAAAGGACTTTATTATTGATTTCAGATATAGTCAAACAATATTGTAAATTTTTAAATATTTTTTTTTTCTGGCTTTTCTATTATGTTGAATTTGTGTTCAAAAAAACAAAACGTGTAAATAAATGATTATTGTTTAAATATTTTTAAATAAAATTTAAATAATATTTTGTTATTTAAAATTTTTTTAAAAAAAAATTTAGTTTTAATTTGAATTCCACAGTAACTTAAAAGAAATATTAATTCTCGAGAGAATTATGAGAAAAAATAATTTTTATTTTTGATATTTTCCTGAATTGTACCTCGATTATTTTGATCTTAAAATTTGAAATGACATATAAGCAATTCCGTTCTATTAATTTAATTAATTTGAAATTTAAACAACATTTTCCTATAAAAATTACTGTAATATTTATAGTTCAACATTTACAACGCATAATTTAACATAAATATCCGTAACTAGACTACAATTGAGAAATCCGAATAGCTGATATTCTAAATATATTGTAACAATGAACTCAAATAAATCTCATATATGTAGATTTACATAGCTGAGTTCATTGCTTACGTAATGATTTCTCATTCACTTTTCAAAATGCCGAATTTCACTATAGAGATAAGTAAGAGAGTATAATTTTATGCAATTGCACAAATAAATAAATTAATATTTTTATTGCAATACGATGAAAGAGAAAGTGTACTTGTCATTTCAAAGTATGTGTACAGAATCGAAAAAAATTAGAGAGAGGGCGTGAGATAAGACAGAAGAACAATGTAACGTCATATACCAATTACTCATGTATCAAATCCTAGTTATCAAAACCTAAAAATTCCATTGTTTGTTAAAATTGCCTCAAATGTACTTTGATTAATATTAAATATATTTAATTCGTTGCGCACGTAAGAAATATTTTAATCAACATGCACATGTATAAATATATAAATGTATTCACAATTACAATTTGCAATCATTTCTGTGTACAAATATACATATAATATTTTTATTAGAATAAGTAATAGTAATTAATTATTATTTTTAAGTAAGAATTCATAATGAAATTCTGTTAAAGATGAGATAATTAATCGCTTGGAGGTAAATATCACAATTGTTTACATGTAAACAAGTTCACAATAATTCTATCACATTTGGCTGTATAGCATTTTTGTAAATGGTTACGTATGTGCTAAGTTTTGTATTTATGTGTTTAGATACTTATATAAGAATCATCGTGTAAAAACAATTTTCTCTTGTATATATACAAACGAATTTAATCAAATCCAGGGGCGTCAACTAAGTGATAATTGATTTTCTTCTTCTCTATTTTTTTTTTTCTCATTTTAATTTTTATGCAAATTAGATAATAAAATTTTTCAATTTTACTATATTTAACGTTCTATCAAATTATATTTATGTGTTATTTTTTTTTCATCTATTCTGAATGAATAATGCAACCAAGCCTTCTTAATATTCATTTGTTTATTATCTATAATTTTTACATACCTAATAATATTTTTGAATGATATCACAACTACAATAAAATATTATTATTTTTTTAATTTATTTATGTGAGTTGTATAACTATATAATATTTTGTTTACTCTTAAAACCAATCATAAATATTTGATAATATTGCAAATAGTAAAACAATAATAATAAAAATAAAATTGTTTTGTTTTTTTTTTTAAATCTTAATAATAATATTACTGTCAAAGATTAATGATTTTCACATATCATTTTAACAGCTATAATAACTGTCAAAATCAATGAGTTATCTGTCAATTCGATTTGATGTAAAGTATTCGTTATACAATATTACATAGATAAATAGATACTGTATTACAGTCAATCAACTTTGTATTCTATTTTAATCATGTACACAAACCTTATGTTTATTACTGTAATGGAATTTATTGTTAAGTATACCAAATTTATAGAATCAGAAATTTTTAATACTTTTATACTATTATTATTTACAAGAATGTATATATGTATATATATATATATATACTATGCATATACATATAAACAATGTGCGTGAATTATTCTTGTATGATAACGACATTATTCTATGAAGTGTCAATTTAAAAAAGTTAATAATTAATTTTAAATAATTTATTAATATTTTTAATTTCTATATAAAAATGTATGTAAAGCTATATATATATACATAGCTATATGTAAACAGGATTTTTATATAAATAGTAACATTTAAGCTCAAACTATTATTAGTTAAAGACGCCTACACTTCAAACCAAAAATTAATTAACACCTACAATCAGCTGTTCAACAATTAATAATATTGTAAAGGAATTCAATAAAATATATTTGAAATTTTTGAAGAATAATCAAATAAATTACATTATTTACTATTTTATAATAATTATTAATAATATATGTATAATATAAAATTGTATAATTGAAATGTCATTACACAAGAACTTATAATTTATTTTAGGAATTTAATTTTTAAATAATAGTAATTAATATTGAAATTATTTAATTAATAATTATTATAAAAATATTTATTTTATTCCCTTAATCAGTTATAAAATCTTGTATAATGTCACTAATGTCATGTTGGGTGTGGAAATCGGATATTATATTCGTGTATAATACTCTGATATTAATTTACTAACATTTATAAAAATTAATTAATAGGAAATGCATCTTACATTATTAAAAAATTTTACTAAAATAATAGGTGAATTAAAAAGTTTAGTATACAATTACAATGATGACGTGTGGTGTTATGTAATTTCCGGCTTCAAATATTGCTATCATTCAAAAATTTCACGAGTCTCTTGTTTCTCGCAATTTAGTCAATAAGAAAAATTAAAAGTAAATTATAATTTTTTTATAAAAGAACAGAATAATTTTATTTTTCACAATCAAACAATTTGTTTACACTTTAAAATTATGAGTTTTTAGGGCTTCAGTTGTTTAAATATTTTAGAGTGTTGAAATAAATCCTTAAAATAATAATTGCAACCTCTTGTATTTGCAACAATTCCTGTAATATTTCCACTCTTATTCTAAAACAATTCTTAATTTGATTTTATATTATTTCGTAGGCATTAAACACAATTATGTTGAACATATACTTATAAAAAGCAATTTACACTTTTCAAAATATTACAAGTAAATTTATTACACCTTAAGCATTTGTAATACTCGTACATCAATGTAAAATTAAAGTGTAATAAAATAAAATAAAATTTAATTGTGGTTAAATTAAATTTAATATCTACTTTGCTCATCTTCTTTATTGTTCCATCTTGATAATTAACTAAAAAAATTTATGATTTATACCATCTTCACATTCAATAAATTTTAACATACGAATGTAAAATCAATAAGAAAACTGGTCCCGGAAATGTAAATGCGGTAACATTTCAATAATTTTGTAAATCAAAAAAAGCATATATATATAATTCATAATTAAGTAGAATTCAACATTACTTTAAGGCGCATTCTTTACGGTTTATACCAACGAGGGTTTTTCGTTCATGCTCGCTTTGTCAGAATGGTATGTAAAATTATGAATCTAAAAAATATTCAGAGTTTTATCGGTTTTGCGTGAAAGCAATGATTTTTTTGCGTTTCAAACGAAATTTGAAGAGTTTTTTACGAAAAATACAGAGTTTTTTACATCTTAAACAAAAAATACATACATCTAAAAATACTAAGCTTTTTACATTTACATGAAAATTCCAAGGTTTTAATGTAAATATTTACTTTTAATGTAAAATATAGTTTTTTACAGTCTTTTTATGAAAAATAAAGAGTTTTTTACGTTTTAATCGAAATATACAGAGTTTTTTACGTTTTTTCGAAAAAAAAACACAGTTTTTTACTTTTACTTCAAAATATACAGAGCTTTTTACGTTTTTCACAAAAAATATAGAGTTTTTACAATTTATGTAAAAAATACGCAGTTCCTTAAGTCTCAATTAAAAATAGAGAGTTTTTTAAGTTTTTTACCAAAAATATAGAGGTTTTTGAGTTTAACACAAAATATACAGAGTATTTTACGTTTTGTACGATAAATACAGAGTTTTTTACGTTTCATTAAAAATATTCAGAGTTTTTTACGTTTTTTACGAAAAATATAGAGTTTTTGCAATTTATGTAAAAATATGCAGTTCCTTAAGTCTCAATTAAAAATAGAGAGTTTTTTACGTTTTTTACCAAAAATATAGAGTTTTTTACGTTTAATTCAAAATATACTGAGTTTTTTACGTTTTGTACGATAAATACAGAGTTTTTTACCTTTTTTACGAAAAATATAGATTTTTTACGAATTATGTAAAAACTACGCAGTTCCTTAAGTCTCAATTAAAAATAGAGAGTTTTTTACGTCTTTTGCCAAAAATATAAAGTGTTTTACGTTTCATATAAAAATTCAAGAATTTTTTAGTTTTTATGTAAAAAAAATAATGTAGTTTCTTAAGTTTAATGTAATTTTATTAGTTTTTTACGTTTTGTTCAATTAATACAGAGTTTTTTACGTTTTTAACGAAAAATACTAGGTTTTTTACATTTATGCGAAAATTCTCAGATTTTTTACCGTTAATGTATAATATCTTGGATCTCTTCGGTTTTCCAGTCTTTTTTGTAGAAAACAAAGAGCTTTTTACGTTTTATACGAAAGACACATAGTTTTTTACGTTTTTTACGAAAATTCGAAAGTTTTTTACCTTTTATGTAAAAAATAGATAGTATTAAGTCACATGTAAAAGAACACAGTTTTATAAATTCCGAACGAAAAAACATAATATTTTTTAATGCCTAATCGATTTTAACCCCATATTCGTGTGTATTCTTTAGAAACTCTATTTTGCCAATAGAGTGCAAAAAACAATATTAAAAAAATTAACAATGTATACAATTATGAAAAATGAACTAATGTCATATAACAAGTGATAAAAATGTCATTACTTTTTTTAATATTTAAAATAAAAACCATTTTACAAGGCTTTCAAA